TCATAAACAATTCGTCCATCTTCACGTCAAGATTGACGACAAGGAGTCCCTCATCACTTTCATTTATGCTTCACCTAACCCGCGAGGCCGACGGGTGTTATGGGATCTCCTGCACACTTTGGCCTCGTCCATCACGAGCCCGTGGTTGATTGGAGGCGACTTCAACTGCATACTACGTTCTTCAGAGCGATCTGGGGGCTCCCCTAACGGCGGTAAAGCATATGGGGCCTTCTCGGACTGGATTTTTGCCCATGGACTTCACGAAGTTAAAACTGACGGTACTAAGTTCACATGGTGCCGAAGGGATCTTTCACAGAAGCTGGATAGGTTCATTTACAACGAGTCTTGGTTAGATACCTTCCCGGAGGCTTTTGTGCTACATGCGACGCGACTCCAATCGGACCACACCCCTCTTGTTGTCCTTTGCAATTCGTGACGCCATGAGTCCCGGAGACCAAAGCCCTTTCGGTTTTCAGCCCCGTGGCTCTTACACGATGGCTTCCAGGACCTGGTGGCAGGTTGTTGGTCGGGGACTGACAGTTTTATGGAGGCGGTCAAGTCTTTCACTGATGCGGCGACCGACTGGAATTACCGAGTGTTTGGTAATATTTTTGCTAAGAAGAAAACTCTCCTCGCACGGATTGGTGGGATTCAACGCTCCCCTCACTTTCGCCGGTCCACGAGATTATTGCAACTAGAAAAGACTCTGACGGCTGAGCTGGAGGAGATTCTTCTTCAAGAGGAAGTCCTCCTGATCCAAAAAGCGAACCGCAACTGGTCCCTCTTTGGCGACCGTAACACTGCTTTCTATCACCGACAGGTCAAGGAGAGACGTCGAATAAACAAAATTGTGGCCCTACGAGATGGCAGGGATAACTTAATCACAGACCCGACTGCCTTACAACAAATGGTTGCCACCTACTTCTAGTCGATTTACAAGGCCGGACGGCCCGTGCCGCATGCCGCCCAGGGTCGCCGAACCACCCTTTTCAACATTAAACCCGCGTGAGCTGGCTTTGCTTGAGAGAGATGTGTCGGAGGTGGAGATCTTGCAAGCTCTTAAGGAAATGGACTCGCTTAAAGCGCAAGAGCTGATGGGCTAAACGCTCTATTTTTTAAAAGTCAATGGGAACGAGTAGGGCGCTCAGTATGTCTACTGATCAGGTCGGTTCTCTATGGAGGGACGTTGCCAGCTGACCTCAATCGAACTCTTATAGTGCTCATCCCCAAATGTGACCAGCCGAATACGATTAAACAATTTCGGCCTATCAGCCTTCTGAATGTGGTGTATAAATTGCTCACAAAGGTGGTGACAAATAGGATGAAGCCGCTTCTTCCTGGTCTGATTGGCCCGGCTCAATCAAGTTTCATCCCCGGTCGACAAATTCAGGATAATATAATTGTAGCGCAGGAGTTGCTTCATTCTATGAGGATTAAGAAGGACAACACAAGGTTTATGGTGGTCAAGGTTGATTTGGAAAAGGCATACGACTATCTGCGATGGGAGTTCGTCGAGAATACTCTCCTTCTCGCGGGTTTCCCACCAAACTTCGTGAAAGTCATTATGCAGTGCCTCACCACGGCATCCATGCAGATTCTCTGGAATGGAGCCCCGGGCGAATCTTTTCAGCCATCTCGGGGGGTGCGACAGGGCAACCCCATCTCTCCTTACCTCTTCGTCCTTTGCATCGAACGCCTTACTCACGACATCAACATTGCGGTGAGAGTCGGCCAATGGAAGCCGTTTAGCATTGGGTGTGGAAGAGTGCAAGTCCCGTATTTGTTGTTCGCGGATGACTTACTTCTATTTCTGGAAGCATCATCTGATCAGACGACCACTATGAAATGGGTTCTTGACAACTTCTGTCACAAATCCGGCCTGAAGGTGTGTGAGGCAAAGACTAACGTTTTTTTCTCGAAGAACGTTCACTTAGACAAACAACGGGCGCTCTCGGAGCTCTTAGGGTTCACGAGGGTGGAGGACCTTGGTTATTATCTGGGCGTCCCGCCTATTCACGGACGGATACAGAGGCAAACGTATGAGAGGATTATCGAGAAGGCGGACGCTCGTTTAGCGGGGTGGAAAGCGGCTTCTTTATCCATGGCCGGCCGAGTGGTCTTAGCGCAATTTGTGGTTAGTGCCCTACCATACTACACCATGCAATCGGCCCACTTGCCGAACTCTATTTGTTCGGGCTTGGAGAAGCGGCTCCGACGTTTCATTTGGGGAGGCTCGCATGACATCAGGAAGCTGAGCCTAGTTCGCTGGGAAGAGGTTTGTGAGTCGAAAGAGAATGGTGGTCTGGGCATTAAAAGACAATGGTTGATGAACATGGCCATGCTCATGAAGATGGGTTGGAAATTCCTCACGAACCAAAACACGTTGTGGGTTCAGGTCTGGAAAGCTAAGTATAACGACAACCCTTTCGAAGTTATCGCGAGCTGTAGAAAGCCGTGCTCGACCACCATTCAATCAGTACAAAAAGTTTGGAGCCACGTCGTAAAAGGGGCTCGATGGGCGGTACGCAATGGCGAGACGGTCAGGTTCTGGACCGACAAATGGTTGCATTTGGATACCATTTTAAACTCAGCCGCTACTGATCGAATTTCGTCGGATTTCATTGATAAAAATATCCGGTTTTTTGTCTCGGAGAATGGTGCACAGAATTGGAATCTGTTCTCTCATTTGGTGCCGACTTCCGTGCTGCTTCAGATCGCGGCAATTTCGCTGCCTCGAGCGGAGCTGGGCTGTGACAGGCTCTATTGGGGCCCATCAGCTACAGGGAAGTTTACCACGAGGTCCGCGTATGATTTTCTGGACGGTGAGCGTGCTTCGATGCCGAGCCCGAGACCTTTATGGCGTGCGGTTTGGTAATGGCCGGGTCCCCAACGGATACGTAACTTTCTTTGGCTCCGTGTGAAGAATCTCTTACTCACAAATTTTGAATGCATGAGACGTCATCTAACATCCGCGACCCTATGTGAGATCTGTAATCAAGCCGAAGAATCCGCTTTACATGTATGTCGGGATTGTCCCAAGGCAGCGGAGATATGGAGACGCCTGGTACCGGGACCAGCTCAAAATGAATTTTTCTCCTTAAATCTGGAACAGTGGTTGGCCTCTAACCTGCTGCTCCCGTCGCTCGTAGGCCGTGACAACTGGGCATGTTCTTTTGGTGTAATCGTGTGGAAACTTTGGCGCTGGCGGAATGAGAGCCTTTTCATGGGAAAATATCGAGACGTTGATCGTGGTCTGCACGAGATTTCTATATACATTGAGGGGTTGGAGAGGGTGACTGAGGGCGCCCGGAAGTTGGGGAGACGGACCGGGCAAGAACATCTCATTGGGTTAGCTGGGAACGGCCTCCGTTGGGCTGGATCAAGCTTAATTCGGATGGCTCCTTTTCTCCGTCGTCCGGAATGGGAAGTGCGGGGGGCCTGCTTCGTGATGACCAAGGACACTGGCTGGGTAGATTTACGATGAACATAGGTATTGTTCGATAATGGCGGCAGAACTATGGGGCCTTTTCCGGGGTCTAACACTCGCATGGGAATTGGGTTATAGACAAGTTGAAGCAGAAGTTGACAATGCAAGTGTGGTGGCCTTTGCTACATCACTTGATGATGTTCCGGGCGTGCATCTGGGTCTTGTGTCGGGGATTAAGGATCTCTTGAGTCGTCAATCGAAGGTGAAGGTGAAGCACGTTTTCCGTGAAGCGAATTATGCGGTCGATTTTTTGGCTTCCTTCGCAGCGGAAGGCCCTTTGGGGTACCGGTCATTCGATGCTCCGCCGGAGGGTATTCGTCAATAGCTACAACACGACACTGTTGGTGTGGCCCATACACGGACGGTCCGAATCATTAACATTTAGGCGTTTAGCCTATTTCTTTGTACCCAAAAATAAAATAAAATAGACGTTTAGAAAAGAAAAAATAATTTAATTGAGTTACCAGAATGAAGATTTCAATATTTGATTTTTGTTTAATAATAATTTTAATTTAAACATAAATATTTGATGATTTTTATTTTTAAATGTGTTATTTTCATATCTTGAAAGTATATAGGTCTGAGACCGGTTCGGTTCTTAACATATTTTTCAAAAACCGGAACCAGAATCGAAATAAAGAACCGGTTCGGTTAACTCCTAAATATCCGCAGGAACTGAAAAACGGTTCAGTTTTTTCGGTTATTCGGGTAACGAATAATGAAAAATAACCGGTTTTAAATTAAGAACCGATCAAAAAATTACAACTCATGAACGAAAAGTATCATAAAAATCGAGAACCGAATTGCAACTATGAGGAACCGAGTATTACATACCAAGGACTGGAACCTAATCATATGTATAAACAAATAAAACATGTATATTTCATATATATATCGGTTCCTCGGTTAATACAATACATTTAGAAAGGATCAGGAACCGAAACAGGTTTTTGCAAAAATTACCGGAACTGATTTTTTTTTTTTTTTGAATAACCGGACGGTTCTCCAGTATAAAATTCCACCCCTAAAAAATATATAATTCTCTAAAAAAAAGAATATTATAAATTAAAGAAATAATTTGAAAATTTACACTATTTTCTCCATTATTTAACTAATTCCAGTACGAAAATCTTTGTCTGGGCTGCCCCCTGCGAGCGAGAATTTGCCTTTTTAAAGATCGGAGGTCTCACTGTCACCGGCCGCCGACCAAAATCAACTCCACCAACTATCGGTTAAACAAAAATGGCGATCATAACTGAGGAACCGGTAGAATCTCCAAAGCCACAGCTCCGCAAATCGAAAGCCAAGCCTAAGCCCAAGCCCGAGCCCGAGCCAGAGCCCGCACCTTCCGCCCCGTCTCCCCCTAAATCCACCGCCTCCGCGGCCGCCGCCGGAAACCCATTTCAGTTCTGGTTCTACTCCACACTAGCTGTTT